CAAAGATCAGAATTACAAACACAAGCCTAGTTTTACCCAAGTGAAAAAAATACCATTTTCATATAAGCTAAAAGCTTGTTTAAAAGCTCTTTCATTCTAAGTTTAATAACAAACTTAGAACAAACCTATCATTTTTGTCTACTTTAGGTTTTTGTCTCTTGTCTTAAACACCAGGAATCTCAGAGTAGAATTTAGTGCTCAAGCAGAATACCACTTTCTAGCCGTGGTTTCTGGGGCAATTTCATCCTCTCTTTGTCACTCAGCTCTTCACAAACTTGGTAACTATTAGTTGAGCATGTATTATGTGTCAGACAACACTCTAGGGGCTAAAGACATGGTAGGGAAGAAGTCATGTGAAAACTCCTGTCTTCATGGAAATTAATTACATTAAGTAGAAGATATAGAGTATTTTTAGCACTGTGGAGAAAATAAAGAGCAGGAAAGGAGATCTGGAGTGCGGGGCTCAGCTTTAAGAAGGGTGGTCAGTGAAGGCCACACAGTGACATCAGCATACAGAACTAAAAGGGAGAAGGGGGAGGCGTAAGCAAGCAAAGGGGAGGCCCTCAAGGAGGATATTCCAGGCACAGGGAATAACACATGCAAAGCCCTGAAGTAGAAGCATGCCTGGCCTGAGTGACTCATCTTTCTGTTGTTGTTTATTATTTTAAATATATTTTTCTTTATTGGAAGTTCTGTCAAATACTTGGAAGAAGGTCAGGAACATACACACTGCCATCAATACTGCAGACAACCTTCAGATACTATGTCACTCCAGAGGAGTTTTTAGTGGTTGTGCATTGCAATGACACTTCACTCATCTTGCCATCCTCCCCTCACTCATTCCTCCTCCACTGGAGATCAAAACTCTGACTTCCTAAAACTAACTTATGGAGGTAAAAAAAAAATATTTTTGCTTTGGGGAAAGGGCCACCTTAAGGAAATCAAACTGCAAGGCAGAGTCCCCCAACCTACAATGACCTCCCCTAAACTTCTAAACCCACTGAATTTGTGTCCAGCATTTAAGAGTAAGTGCTACATAGTATTGTTTCTCTATCTGATTATATGCTACCCTGTATTGTTCTTACCTACACGCACATCTTGTATACACAAAAGGCAGCTACCCTGAAGCAGGGCCCACACCTTGGGAATGTCTGAATCCCACCACAGGGCTTTTCACACGGATGGCACTGATATCTGTTTGACAGTGATGTCATAGGAACTGCCACAATGAGCAGTGGGCTTTCCTCTTGTTTGAAGTATGTTTATGGATAAAGCATGAAAGTGACATAGTCCCTTAACAGGCGTTTGGATAAACTCAACCATCTTGGCCAAGTCACTGTTTGTGTAACATTCCATTCTGTCTAAATTCCCCTTTTCGTTTTCCGTTGGGCACAGGATGCACTTTCAGTCCAGACACAAGCATGGATTAGCCACAACACACAGAGGAACTGCACCTTGTGAAACCCTTCAGCCAATGTAATTAAACACTATTACGGGAATACCGACGTGAAACTACCAGACACAGGGGCTATAAAACATTGTCCCATAGAGTTTAGCCAAACAAACAGACACATAAGGAACACCTCAGTGCATGCAAGACACGCAGAAGTATTTTGAAAGTACACAAGCAGTGGCCTAGAGGGGGAGGTAAGGCTTCACAGAAAAGCTGGCACCTGAACAGCCTCGGGTTTTGAAAGATGAATAGGCCTGGGACAATCAGACATGGGATCAAAGGGCATTCCGGATTGTGCAAAACACTGGCAGAAACACAGCAGACTGAAAACGACTGGAAGGACACATTCACCACCCGCAAAGGAAAGTCTGTCTACTGCACTCTTAAACTTTCCAAGAAAAAAAGAAAAAAAACAAGCTTTCAAATAAGGAGCTGAGGGAGGAAAAGTCTGACCAGCGCTTGTTTTGTTAAACCTCTGAGCTTTGCTTAGCTTTGTTTTGCTCTTTCTGTTTTGTTCCCTCTTAAAGAAATAAGCACTCTGCTGGTGTAAACTTCAGTGAGAAAAAAATACTTCAACTTCACCGTGGAAAAAGAAACTGAAAAGTGGACCAGGTCTGAGGAATAAACAAATTAATAACACTTTTTTTCTGTACTATTTAGGTGGAACAAAACTTCAAATTCAGGTATCATGCATGGCAAACCTTCTCTTCATCAACTCAATACACATTTATTTTCTGTCCACTGTTTGTTAGTTTCTGGCATACCAGGCCTCTGAGGCACTCTTACTGCCCTCCTCTTTGAGCAAGCACTTGGCTGCAACCTAATAAAAGAAAGAAGCAGAGGGCAATTCACTTGTACCTGTTCCTTCTAAGGTTGCCAATCAAAGCCTGCAGCTCACGCAGAGTGAAATTCCAGTTTAGTTAACCGGTGAAGACAAACACACTTTTCTAAGGACAACAAATGAGAAACTGGTAGAGGTCCTGGGTAAGGGTGTTCATCACCTCTTCCTGTGAGCAGGGAGCCGGCGAGCCGGACTTCCTGGCCAGCGATTTGGAACGCTGAACGAGGAACAGAGGAGGGACAGGGGGGCTGAGGTTACCTGGGAGCTCAAGTAGACTCGGAGGCACTCCTCGCACACGGCCTTCTTGCAGCAGGGCAAGGGCTTGATGGGCTTGTCTTCCAGGCACACCCGGCACATCAGCACCATGAGGGGCGCATAGGGATCCCCAACCCCACCCAAGCCAGAGTAGGGTGGAGATCCCAGCAGGCTGGGCACGGAAAATGGCTCGGGCGCCAGGTAGAACTCCAGCTCGATGCTGCCACCGTCGGGGGACAGGGGGTCCGCTGGGAGCGACAGCGGGGGGCTGGGGAAGGAGGAGGGCGTGCTGGGAGGGTTGGTCACCGGCGGAGCTCGAGGTGGCGACGCAGGCAGCGAGAGCCGCTCCGCAGAGGGGACCTCGGGCAGGTCGTTCTCCACGCAGAACACGGAGCAGAAGACTTGTCTCTTGGCGGGGGGCGGGCGCCGATGGCCCAGTACGTCCAGGACCAGTCCGTCCGGGGTCCCGCGGGTCCGGGGCTCCGGCTCCTCGCCGGGGGGCGCCTCCTGCTGTTCATCCCCTCCCTCGTTTCGGTCCCCTGCTTCCTCCACCTCCTTCACCAGCTGCTGTTGCAAAGCCTGGGGGTCGAGGGGCCCAAGGATGGCCAGTCCCGCGGGCCGCCCCGGTGCGTGGCTCTTCCTCCAGCTCTGGGTCC